GGCTAAGTCTTACGTGGAGGAAATTCTATGTTGGGTACACGGGCAAAAGAGGACCAGCGTTCGTCTGACCGCGGCTTTTCTGGGTTCTGGGATGGGAATCGCATCAGACGGTGGCGGAAGACGGAACTGCTGGTGGGAGCTGCACATTGATGTTTGAGACAGAGTCTGGTCGATCACTTGCGCCATCTGTTTCTACATTCGGCTTCAACTAGGAATTGTGGTAGATGCCACATCAATGTAAAAGCATGTGACTTCGAGGCGCTTTTTTTCTTTTCCATTTTGCCTGCTTTAGCCAGATAGCCGGACGTGGCTGGCCAGATGACGTTGCATTTGAAAAAGTGGCCGGCATGGTGGCCTTTGACGTGGTAATATGATCTTGAGGTGATTCAAGTTGGGATGGCGGCTCATACTGCAATGTGGTAGAATGTCAAGGTATTTTTAGCGCCAATCCTTAAGAGGCCCAGAAGAGGCATGTGCGGCATATGGCTGGCCTGGATCATAAAAGGCCATCATTGGATGGAGGCTTGTAATGTGCGAATGAAGACTGGGAATGCTGATTGCCCCGTGTTGACAGCACAGGCGGGAGCGTATCTTGACTAGACCATAAGCCCGCCAGCACTCCATACTCCGTATAATACCCAGTAAGAATCCTCGGCTTGAAGAATGTCTGTCGGCGGCATGTACAGCAGTACTTCGTGTTTTCGAGGAGGGCAGCGAACCCCTTATTAACTGGGGTTGGAACAGGAACAGTCAGTCGTTGACAGGCATACCAGATTGACAGCCTGTCCTCCCCTCCGGCCCGAGTGTTAATGACATCGAAAGGTATACCAGACTGGACGTCTACCGGGCCGGACGTCGAGTGGATACCAAGGTACCGAGCATGCATGCATGTCTTCATCATGACTGTTGTACTTGCATCCGTGCTTCCACCCGTGAAGTCTGCGGTGCCGCAGAGTATGCGTGGCGTCGACAAAATGCAGAACCTGGCTCGTCTCTATTTCACCACTTCGGGGCCGTTCTTCATAATCAGACAAAAGCAGTTAAGGCTACTCTGATGCACAGAGTGACGGACAAGACCCCGGACGCCAGTCCACAAGGTATCCTTCCGCTGGCTTGTCCCTGTAGAAGCATACTTTTAATTGTGGAAACCTGGCCCCCCGAAGCAACGTGCATGACCGAAGGGCAGATGAGGTTTCCGGGTTGTTCATGGCAAGTCAAGCCATGGCGAAGAATACTCTCCAGGTCTTGTCGTCCGATCGATCCAAGTTGGTGTGCTGTAGTGCTGTCGATCCCAGCCCCAAGGTTTTCCCCCTTGTCTGGTCGAGCTGGACTTGAGGACGGAAGGCATACGGCACATACACGCTAGTCGTTTGACGAAGAAAATAGACCTCGAGGTGCGTCAAGAGATGATGACGAGCACAAGCGCGCAAGACGGCCAATGACCCTATTTCCCCGAAGTTGACGATCAAAAAGCGGATGAAAAGAACAAGGAGAAAAAAAGGACCATTTCGGTTGCGTGGAGGTTGGTACCGAGTAGCAAGGAAAGACAGATACCTGAGTTGCACTTTGAGATCATGGAGTCTGCAGCCTTCTCAGGATTGATGGAGAAATACAATAGCGGTTGTTGCGGAACGCAAATGGGTCGGGCCTGCCCAGCCAAATACCAGGTACCTCTGGTACGTACCTGAGGCAGGTACCAAGTTGAACTGAGGCGCTCCTTCCTTAGCCGCCATTTTGACAGCCTCCACTCACCCGCAAGCCTCGCTTACTTCACACCTCTGCCTCTTTTCAACGACACCTCACTACCCCCCAAGCTGGACGAGTCTGGGCTTCTCAAGCTGCTGTTTTCATCTGCCTGCCCATCGTCGCACCTCGCATTGCGTACCATCAATTCATACCGCTCCCGCTCACTCGCCTTAGATGCTCCCCATTCTTTAGCCGTGCCATGCCCCTCGTCTTCTTTCTTTGATTAGAGCAAGGCTCTGCCACATTGGCGCCGCCCCCCGCAGGCCAGGCCTTGCATTTCTCGCTTATACCGAGTACTGGCTCAGACGTAATTTTTAATTACTGGGGCGGTGCGTTTTGACCTCGCCTGTCATATGCAACTGTTCTGCATCAAAGCTGGCCTACGGCATTGAGCGCTATGAGATCCGTTCATTTTAATCGTCCCTAGGCAAGCGCCGAGCGCACAAGGAAGGGTTGTCCATCGGGCGTCTAAAGAGGATGGATGGCAAGCAGCCAGGGAGAACGGACCGCGGTCACTCTTCAGCTGACCTGGGGGCGACGTGGGAGTGTCGGGAGTAAAGCACTCGGCAGCAAGGAGGGTCACGGAGCCAGAGAAAGCTCGCGTTCCAGGCCATCTCGGACGACAAAGAAAACATCCAACGCTGGAGCTTGCGAATTACTTGCATTCACCGCGAAATGGCTGCACTTTAGGGATCAATGCTGCCCTCCGCCTCTCCCCACACGCCGCGCGCACCACTTCGCTTACACCTCTGACTAGCATATTCAAGTGGATGCTGACGGCCCTGCCGCCGACCGTTGCGCCAGGTTCGGCTTCCTCTCCGAATATTCCATTGTCTCTGCCTTGGAAGGCTGTCTCGGTGCCACGAGATACTGGGAATGTGCCGCACGGCCTAATTTATCCGTGCCATTCTCAACCTTGGGACTTTTGCCTTTGGCTTGCAGAAGTAGCTGCTTCTAGGCTGGTCCTTCGCAGCAGCTTTTTGCCCACTACTTGATGCTTTCCTCGTGTTTTCTTCTTCGAGATATTGGCCTTACCGCCAGCTGTCGCCACAGCCTACAAGCTACGGAACTAGGAACTGGGTTAATTGGCGTTCATCCCGCTCCGCAGATGATCCACCTTCTGCTGGTGGACGGCTTGACAAGTTGACAAGCTTGTAACTTGTATCTGTCGTCGAAATCTCATGTAGGGCGGCTGTCGGTGTGCAAACCTTCATACCGGCCCGTCGACCCTCCTCCTCGTCAGATATCATCCCCATGTCTATTGTATGCATTTCCCTTGCAGAGTACCTCGAACGGCCCCTTCAAGTTGCTCAAGGGATGAGCGTCCCCTCCGATTCCCGCGACATCCTTGACCAAGGTCAATGTACAATACAGTATGCATTTATGCTATGTGGGGGTTCTCTCTGGAGGCTGGTCATATCGATTTTATGAGTATGCATAGATGAGCAGACCTTTCGTCTGCTATAGAAAGGTCTGCTATAGCCCACCCTGGTAGATGTTATACCTCCATCGTCAAGGTCTTGCCATCCTTCCTGCCATGTCCCCTGTTGCTGCACTTCAATATACTCCACAGACGCACAATCGAGCGCACTTCCCCCGGTCCAAGACTGAGCCCCCTCGCGCTACAATATTCCATCGTCTGTGTAGTGGAGGAGGGTGATGTGAAATTGTTCATGTCTGCATGTACTCCGAACCATGGCTACATTCTCGGCCACAACCGCGGCAGATGCTGGGTGGTCGGTCGTCCCAGAGAACCAGGCTGCAGTAGTTCCGGGCCTGCTCCTGCGACAGGGTCACGAATCTAAGTGCGGATGTTGACCGGTCTACCTCTTTCTGGCTCTGAATGACCTGGCTTCTGTATCCAGCGGCACAAAGCTACCCTTGAAAGGCCCTTCAAAAGCATGAAGACCACCCCTGTCCATGGATATTACCGTATAAGCATCTGGCCATGGCCTTGGCAGTGCCCACTACAAATCTTTACAAGAGCGAAATAGGGAAGTGCCCAGCGGAAAGCCTTGACAATTTCTGGAGTGAACAGACATCATGACGGCATAAATTCATTAAACTATTCCCCGATCTGTACCGAACCGACATGGTCCGCTCTGTTCGGAGTCATTTCCACAAAGGACATGACTTCGACAAAACGCCGCCTCTACTAATATTCCATTCTCATGAGCCCATCCCTTTATACCTACCCAGGCACAGAATCGTTTGAGGTCCACACCGACGTCTTTGTCTTTGGTCTCCATTTTCGGCATCTTCCTTGTGGAAGTGTCTCTGCCCAAGGGCTCCTGAGAACGCTATGGTTCCAGTTAAATATCGACCTGGATCCTGTCGCTAGTGCCCTCAGCCAAGAAGAGACTATCCGGAATAACGGACTCTAAGAGCTGCACGGAGAACTTATTACCATAAGAAACATTGGCGCCTATACTGCAAAAGGGAGGCTCTGAAAGAGACACTCTCCACTTGTTATTATTGTTATACTTGGGGCTGCCTCAAGCAAACCACTACTCTACTACCGCACCCTCTCACTCGTTACCAACATCCGACCCTGGTCGTCGCCACTCTCACTCACAGCAGTGTAGCCCTACTACTGGGCTGTGGAATATTGGTAACCTAGCGCTCCTCTGAGAACTAGCCTCTTCCCTTCAGCAGCATACACGGCAGTAGAAGCGCTTGTCTTCCCTTTCGCAGACGCAGCTTGCTACAGGCAGACCCTGCTTACCAGTGTTATTGCCCCCCAACGAATTATCATCCGACTTCCACGACAGCCGATTCTGATTCGTAACTCTCGTTATACTCGAATCCTGAAAACGACAGTACTTCAGACCGCACTCTTTCCTCCGGCGACAGAGCCCGTGAGGGCGTTCTAGGTGTATCAAGGCCGTTTGTCAAGAGGTGAGGACACCGCTCAGGGCTCACTGCTCTGACGGAATCCCTGCGCCGAAGACACGCTGGCGGACAATTATCGAGTCGGGGGTTACAGTGTGGACTTTGCTGCTGGCCATGAAGCTCACACCGGAAACCAGAACCATCTTCAGCAACCGTATTCGTCTCCAGCCCAGCAAAATCCATTTCAAAGTTCCCAGCAATACCAATATAACAGCCAGCAACAACCAAGATCGTCATTTGCTCATTCCGCGGTAACAGGAAGCAGCACTGGGGGCAACGCCTCTCCGGAACCCGCACATGGACATCCTTCGTCACGATCAGGACTCCCTGGACAACAACAATCCCACCAACACTCACCTACTATGCAGTTGGATTCTTCACAGATGGGCGGCCATCGGCTTGGCCACGTTCAATTCGGTTCGGTCACCTCGGTTTCAACGCAAATGTACTCTGCCACAGCATCGCCCACAGAGGGGCATGCGTCATTTGTTGCCAACGGCGCGAATAGGATTCGAAAAGATGGCTTTGACATTTCCATGGGTGGTGTGACTACATTAGGGCAGTCTAGTTTGGAAACCATGCCATCCAATTCCATTGGCGCAGCATATGGACAAGCGGCGGCGGCGGCGACCTCTTCCAGCGTGGGCGCCTTGTCCCATCAGGCACAAGGACCTCAACTGCACCATCACCACCACCTTCCAGATCTAGGACATTTATCCAAATCCATGCGTCGAGATGATGGCAGTGGAGCACCAAGTATGGTCGGTCAAGTAGGCATGCCACCACCAGCTCCACGTCCGCGGGGTCCGAAGCTCAAGTTTACCGCCGAGGATGATCAGCTTCTTATAGAGCTTAAGGAACAAAAGAACTTGACATGGAAGCAGATTGCCGACTTCTTCCCTGGGCGTTCCTCAGGGACGTTACAAGTTCGTTATTGTACCAAGCTGAAGGCGAAAACAACACAGTGGACCGACGAAATGGTATGTTACAGAGTCCTAACGGTAGAAGTTCTGTGTCTATGATGCCACGTTAAGTGTGCTTTCGTACGATACGTGTTCCATACTAATGGCTAACGCTTCTGAATCTAGGACCATAAACTTCGCACTGCATTGGCCGATTATGAGAATGAAAAGTGGCGTATCGTTGCCCACAAGGTTGGTTCGGGATTTACACCAGCGGCGTGCAGGGAACGTGTCTTGGAACTCATGGGCGCCGACGACCCCGATACTACATGGCAGTCAATGTCACCGAGGTCCGCTTCAGCAGCTGAGGAATCGGACACGACGGAGCTGCCACAAATTCACCGGCCGTGGCATGGAAAAAACGAATTTTGATTCTCATCAATTTGCACGAGAAAATGCAAGAACAGGGCGATTATCTGCGGGGTTGAAAAAGAGACTTGTGGAAACGAGATGCTGCGCCTGTGCTTCAAATCATTAGCGTTGTGTCCAAAAGCGAACAACCTGAGGGTGATGGATGGAAAAGGCATGTGGTAATATTAAGAAGGTCAAGAGAATAGTCAAAAGGAAGAAAAAAGGGGCGTTCTGAATTAAAATCCTTGGCACACTGGGTACTCATGGCACATACCCTTTACGACATATTGGTCTAGTAATGATGAATATACGTTGTATGTTTTGTTTGTGGAATTATTCTTGTGCTTAATAAACAAACTAGAGAAGTCTTCTCACGAGTTCGGCCTGATTCAAGATCACATTGCCTTCAACGAGCTCTATAAGAGTGCGGTGAGTTGACACATCCAGTCGCTGACCCAGAAATGCCGCCATGTCCACTAACCAACCATTGAAATCTCTAATCTCTGTTGGTTTTCCAGCTTCAACATCCTGAAGCATAGAGCTGCGGTTTTCGCCAACTTGGACACCAAATCTGTATAGCTTCTTCTTTAAACATGGTAGAGAAAATCGCTCCGCCAGCCCCTTCCGCAGCTCATGGACGTTCTCCGTGGGGATGTCTGATTTAGACGGTTGATTTTGATGCATATATGAGGCGAGAATATCAGCACTACTTTCGTGAATTACAAGGGCGTGGATGACTGCGCTCGTTTCCGCTAGTAGCTTGTTCAGGACCTGCCCGAGGGGGTTATTCAGCTCGCCGCCAGCGAAGAGTTCGCCGTTTTTGCAACGCAACAACGCCGTTAGGGGGTTGATAATGGCATTCATCACAAGCTTTTCGAGTTGCAGTAGCCAGAGCTCGCCCGCAGAAACAGACTTGGAGTTCAGAAGGGGCGCAGCAGCGACTTGCGCCATGAAAAAATCAACGCTGGGGGGAGGCTGTGGGTTAACGAGGACCGGCCCAATGGACGCGTCCGCAGGAGCCGTGTGTATGCTCTTGAAGGGACCTGTAGACAGCACACCGTGATTAACAATACAAGCAAGAAAACTAGGTGCGTTGCCTGCCTCATATCGATGGGCAATATATGCTTGGCCGTGTGGTGGCCAGAGCTTGGACATGCCGTTCTGGGCAAACACAACGGTGCTGTGCCTGTCCAGGTACCCTCGGAGTCGATCTGCTTCTGTCATGGCGGCCGACGCCTTGGTTGATATGAAGAGGTTGCGCAGCTTTTTACCATCCGCCACCTCCCGTACAGGGCCATGGTCCGGGGCAGTTCGAGTCCACCACTCAATGTCGAAATCCTTGTTCTTAATAACCACGCTACCACAAGTGAGCTCGACACCACCGCCCTGAACCCATTGCGTTAGAAGTTCTTTCCTGTGCACCACGAGAGTGATGGGTGGAGGCCTAGGTTGCCTCGCCAGGTAACTTGCATAAAGCCTTCCAATGTTGCCGACTCCGAGGATGAATACCCGTCGATCCAGGTCATTTCTGCCGCTGGTGAGGCTAATGGCTGGGGTATTATGATTTGCACCCCGATCGAGATTTTCGGGCGTCCACGCAAATAAATTGGGTGGAGGCCCCTGATCTGCAATAAGAGTTTTCAACCAAGCTGGTTGCTGGCCGGACGGCATTGTGTAAGTTGAAAATGAAGAGGAAGACCGGGCGAGCTTAATCGACCAAGTGGGTATGCTTAGAGTGCGACGCAGCAGCTTGGGTCCTAGAGTCATAACTGGCAAAGTCAGGAATTGGCAAAATTAAAGCATTCTCTTCGTACTCTCTCGGCATTGCTTGAGGCGTGATGGTCGCAGACTAGGCCTGTCCCTCAAACGATGTTTGTGCGATAAACACGTGGAGGGATTTGATGGCTGGGTTTAACGCTCCCCATCAGGGTCGGCTCGTTGGACCGTTGAGACGTGTTTCTTAGGTTGTTCGATCCAGGGCAGGGTGCATATGGGGTGATTCAGATGTTGGGGGCTGTACGAAAAGCAGATCCCTTTGGCGTCTTTGGCGGTGTCCGAGATGTCTACGGATGGGATGAAACGGCTAGATGATGTGCATGGTCGTTGGCGTGTGGTGTGGCTGAGGGGGTGTGCGTGGCAGCGTGGGTGTGCGTGGCGGGTCCCTCCTTCCTTCCTTCCCGTAATTGCCAGAGGTACGTAGTACTGTCGACGCGC